ATGCGGACGGCTCCGATTTGTAGCCTTGTCTACACGAAGCGACTGTTTAGGGTTTAGGGTTTAGGGTTTAGGGTTTAGGGTTTAGGGTTTAGGGTTTAGGGTTTAGGGTTTAGGGTTTAGGGTTTAGGGCTGAGAGTGTTCGGGTCGATCTAGATTGGGTTGACTGTTTAGTGCTTAGCGGGCTAGGGTTTAGGACTGAGGCCGTTGGGGTTGAAGATGCAGGGCTGAATGAGAGTTTAGGAGTTTGTGGCTCCCCAAACCCGACTTACCCAACAAGCCCATCCTACGCCCTACAACCCAAGGCGCAGCTCAAGCACCGTTGGGCTTGCGGTCTCTCATGCTTAGTTCTCTAAGTCATGGAGGGGGTTCCCAAAATGGACCAGAATCGGGAGAACCGCCTGAGTAGGCTAAAAGCCTTTAAGCCCACCCGAAACCTGAAGGAACACACATACTACCCTCAACACAAAATCCCTAAACCCTAAACCCTAAACCCTAAACCCTAAACCCTAAACCCTAAACCCTAAACCCTAAACCCTAAACCCTAAACCCTAAACCCTAAGCCCTAAATCCCGAAACCCTGCATGTGAGCGCTCTGGAGGCCGCATACCTCCCTGGGATGAGAATCCACAAGGCCAGCCGGGAACACGGCCTCGTTTAGGGTTTAGGGTTTAGGGTTTAGGGTTTAGGGTTTAGGGTTTAGGGTTTGGGGCTTCCCCCCCTTCCCAGCTCTAGGTTTTTGGTTTGGGGTGTAGGTTTAGGGCCACTCGAAGCCCTGAGCCCAAAACCCCGGAAGCCACGAAGCCGTGAAAAGGGTACCTGGGCGGGGTTTAGGGGTTTAGGGGTTTAGGGGGGTTTAGGGGGGTTTAGGGGTTTAGGGGTTTGGGGGTTTAGGGGTTTAGGGGTTTAGGGTTTAAGGGTACCTGGGCGGGGGTACTTGGGGTGTATACGCGCCAGGTTCGGGCTTTGGGGATTTTGCGCTTTGGGGTTTGGGGATTTTGAGGGTCTACCGTAACTCTGTTGGTTTTTGGCATGAGTTACGAGAATGGGGTTCGTTTTTTGGTGTCATGGTTGATGTTGGTACATCATGATCCGTTGTTACCGTTTATGTAGTTGTTTTAAAAGAGGGCAAACCGAAGGGCCGACCCCGACGTGGTGCTGGGAAGAAGGACAACTCCCTTGCAGGTCACATCGACATGGGTGCGATCTACGTGCCACGACGTCTGGGTTCTTCCTTCAAGCAGTAAAGAGATCCCAAAGGCCTGCAGCTATGGCACATCACACGACTCCCGCAGATTGGGTCCCGTGGGAGCCACCGGCCTCACGAACGAAGCTAAGACTGGAGAAGATTCGAGTGATCGGTGGCATGGGAGGGAAGAAATCGATTTGCTGTTTTGTGCTGAAGCACTTCTTGGCCTTCCTTCAATCGGTCAGAAGCATCACGGCACGGAGCGGATATCGATTGCAAGCGCCTGCCGCTGAAGTTCCCTTCTCGTGCGAGCACCTTGGCGCCTTCCAGCATGGCCCACAGGGACGTAAGGATGCTGCGTCCCTAGCTGCGAGGTCAGAATTGCTTGTAAGACTTTGTAACATCACAGAGGCCATCAACTGATATGAGGACTTGCGGTGGCTTGAGGGTGAGCAAATCAGCAAAGAAGTGGCTCATGGTGGAAAAGATATTCATTCTGTTTCTCTCCAGCCTCGCAAACAAGCCCAAAACTAAACCTTCAGGCCTCAGCCCAAGGCCTTGTAAGCCCAAGCCTTAAGCCACAAAACCCTAAACCCTAAACCCTAAACCCTAAACCCTAAACCCTAAACCCTAAATCCTAAACCCTAAACCCTAAACCCTCAACCCTACACCCTAAACCCTAAACCTTACATCCCGAAGCCTTACGCAATCATCGTGCGCAGGCAACGGCATACCCGCGCGCACTGACCCCACCCAGGAGGCAAGCTTTGCGGTTGTTAGGCTTTTGAGGGTTTAGGGTTTGGGATCTAGGGCTTGGATGTAGGGCTGGGGCCTTGCGGCTTGGGTTGTGAGATTTTTACATGTCGTTCCCTCCATCATAGAGACAAGTTTAGCAGGTTGTGAGGCGGCCGTGAATCCGAATCCTGCCCAAGTAGCCTCGAAGTGCAGAATTTGGTTTCAAGCTTCACTCGGTGCCTTTAGGGCTTCAAGACTTGGGAATCAGGGAAACCCTAAGCCCTTAGCCCTTAACCCTTAAGGGCCTTAAGGTTGTACCAGGGTTTTGGATTTTGACTTTGAAAGCGATTGGACTCCTTTCAAGCGAGTGAGGGCGCTCAGAGAGAGCATGCCCACCCCTTCGAAGAATAGCCGCGCCTGGCAGGATTCCTAGTCGAACTTTTGCCAGCGCGTCTCGCAAACGCGATTGCGAGACGCGCCAGATAATGAGCGCAACTCGGATTGAGAAGCGCGGTAGAACTATCCGCCAAGAGCCGATGCCTTGACTCTGAATGAACATCGCAAACATTGAAGATGACACTCAGCTTCAAACTTCCAAGGGAGAGCTCTAGCCCAGCTTTTCTCACTAACGTGCTTTTGAGACACGCAGGATAGTGCTCGCAACTTGGATTGAGAAGCGCGATAGAACTGCGCAACTCGGATTGAGAAGCGGTAGAGCTATCCGCCGTGAGCTGCTGCGTGACTCAGCTTCAAGCTTCCAAGGGACAGCTCTAGCCCAGCTTTTCTCACAAATGCGCTTTTGAGACACGCAGGATAGTGCGCGCAACTCGGATTGAGGAGCGCGGTAGAGCTATCCGCCGTGAGCTGCTGCGTTGACTTTGAATAATGTTAACATCGCATTTTACATGGGGTGGGATTTAAATGTGGGTGGGAACAGTAATATTCGCCGGGCCAGAGGGCCTCAGCCCAAGACTACTTTCCATCACGGGAGGTTTTTGGGCTGATGTGGGTAAACAAGTCTATATAGGGGGGTCCGATGAAAACAATAATGGGGTGACAATTGTAAAATTTGGCTGGCCAGGAATCGAAAATTTTCCTGAAAATGGCTTACGAGTTCAATTGCGGAGAAGACTTTTCAGCTTAGCTGGCTTGAAAGAGCCCCAAGGCTCAGTTTTTAGAGAAGCAGGCTCGTTTGAGATTGCTTGTCTTTTGAGATTGCTGCAGCTCCAGAGCTGCGAGAAACTGCTGCTTCAGGCCGGTTTCTTCAGAGAAGCAGGTGCCTTTTGAGATTGCTGCAGCTCCAGAGCTGCGAGAAACTGCTGCTTCAGGCCTGTTTCTTCAGAGAAGCAGGTGTCTTTTGAGATTGCTGCAGCTCCAGAGCTGCGAGAAGCTGCTGCTTCAGGCCTGTTTCTTCAGAGAAGCAGGTGTTCCTCTAAGGCTTCAGATAAGAACCCCCTAAGCTTCAGACTTCAGCCTTCGGGTCCTGGAATTCAGGGAAGGAAGCCGCCAAAGGTCTGAAAGCAAGGCTTCCTTACTAAAACCCCGGGGCTCGAAAACAAATCCGGAAAGGGTACCCCTCACGGGCCTCCAAAATGACAATAATATAGGGGTGGCAATAATAATTTCGGCGAGGGGGAGGGAGCCAAGGAAGCTTTAAGTTTAAATGGCTGCCTCTAAGTCTCAAGACAAGAGTCCTTAAGCTTAAGACTTCAGCCTTCGGGTCCTGGTCTAAGTCTCAAGACAAGAATCCCTGAAGCCTAAGACTTCAGCCTTCCGGGTCCTGGACTTATAGGAAACCGCCAGCGATCTCAAAGCCAGGTTTCCTTACGCAAAACCTCTAGACCCCCAGGCCCCAGACCCCCAGAATCCTTTATTGGCACCCCCTCTTTGGATAACCGGTTTGGAGACCAAAACATTTTTTTGGGGGGAGGGTTACTGAAGCGACGTTAACATTACGCTGCGCAAACATTGCAGATGCGACTCTCTCTCTGTCCCTGCCGCAGTTGTGCTTGCTGCAGCCCGCCAGCTCATGTGTGAGAGTTTCATTCTGGTTGCAGCAGCTTTGCGCCATGTCTGCCTGAATGACTGTTTTTGTATTTTGTCTCAGTCGATATTCTTGTAGTAAGCCTCCCTGCAAGCCGGGATTTTGCTATCGTCGATGACGATGAGTGGCATCCTCTAGACGAAATCTTAGAGGGGGCCTTTCCGACATTGTGGCTCTTTCTGAATGTGCCAGAGCGTGGAGAACACTTGGCCGCTAGGTGGAATGTCCATGAGATGATCGTCGAGGTATGGCTTCCGAGACTTGTTAGGGAAGGCAGAGTTAGCGTCGATGTCGCCAAGTTGTATTGAGAGTGAGTTTCAATCTTTCCTTTTCTTTGGCTTAGACCTCTGAGTTTGCTAAAAGTTCCCTCGCAACCATTGCAGATTAGCTTCTCTCTGTCGATGTGCCGCGGGAGTCAAAGCAAACTCCTCCAGCAATAAAGATGTCGCTGCCGCAGTTCTGCTTCCTGTAGCCCTTCAAATTTCTTTTTTTTTTTCTCCTGCGATGAGTCTGCCTGCCGTGACAGGTCTCCCCAGCTCGCTGACGACATGAGGACCGCTGAAAGCGATCAGCCTTCGATGAACGTGCAAGACGTTGTCGCACAGGCGCTGAGCGCCTCTTGCGTGATTGGTATTGTCTGTTTCCCGTGGAACTGGAGACAGGACCTGGAGAGGGTTTCTTCACGATCAGGCCACAATCCGTTTTGGAGAGCGCCTATCCACACTCATGACCTGTTCTGGGGAAGACTGTGGATGTGTACATGTGAAGAAATCAACATATTGCCGACCAGGAGCTTGATCGACAAAATAGTGATCGGCATGGTGGAGTTACTTAGGAGTTTAGAATTTCTTGCCGACCAGGAGCTTGAGCGACGAAATAGTGACTGGCATGGTTGAATTATTTCACTTTACACTTTTTAGATCTTATGGCAGTGTCACAGTAGAACACTTGTTGCGGGTAGGCGCTTTTGCTGCGGTGCTTGTGGCTTTCGCCAGCGTCCAACGTTTTTTGTTTGCGTAGCGCAGACATTGCCAGATGTCGTGCTCTCTGTCTTGGTGTAGAAGCGTCTGCGAAGATGTCGACTACCATGTAAGGGCCGGAGGTGGCCGGAACAGACTGCGGGAGTGGTCTCCAGAGACCAAAGTTCATTGCAGATTTCTGTACGCGGCGCAAGCGAACTGCCTGGACTGTGTGCGCAAGTGGGTCGAGGAAGGCGCCTCCTTGGAGCGGGGCTCAAGCAACCATGCGGAGTGGACGGCGCTCGCCTGGGCGGAGCACCATGACGCGCGGGAGTAACTCGGCGGTGTGTTTGCCTTTATGTGTGTCTTGTTTGGGTTTCTGTCCACCATATGTTCTGCGTGCGGAACACCTGTCAGGGTGGCCGACTTCCTGCGCCAGGCTGCTATGGGAAGGTATGACGTTCCGGCTTCCGCAAGTTCAGTGCCCGTTCTGAGGAGCGAGTCTGCTAGTCCTCCTCCGCCACCGTTCTGCGCAGCCGCAACGGAGGATGAATACTGTCACGTGGCCAGGCAGAAAACTCGCGAGAGAGTGCGAGGCATGGAGAAGGAAGATGAGAAGCACTACTTGTTCCTGCACGCAGCTTCCGCTAACTGCGTGGAGTGTGTCAGCGCTTGGCTGGCACGTGACGCCGACTTGGCCAAAGGCACGATGAACACTGAGTGGAACGCAGAAAGCTTTGCGATTCATGGTAATGCTAGCGCGCTGCTTGGCTTCAAGTGGACAACTTTGTTTCGTATGCTTTTCAGACAGAAGAGCCGTGTCCGAGGGTCTTGAGCGTGTTGCGCAAGGCCGCCGCGAATCAGGCCATGACATCATGGTGACATCAGGGAGACAAGTTTAGCGGGTTGTGAGGCGGCCGTGAGTCCGAATTCTGCCCGAGTAGCCTCGAAGTGCAGAATTTGGTTTCAAACTTCACCCCGTGCCTTTGGGGCTTCAAGATTTGGGAATCAGGGCAACCCTAAACCTTAACCCTTACAGGCCTCAAGGTTTTGCTAGCGTTTAGGATTTGGGGTTCAGGGCTTGGGCTTCCCCCCCAGGGCTGTTTCCTACTGTTTCTTTCTTAGTAGGGACGTAGGGAGTTACAGGGTGCAGCGGAATGGTGAGATACTTCATTCCCTGTGTCCGTCCTTTCCTTGGGAGCAGCCGCTGTCCCCCACCCATTCGCCGCAGGTGCCCCTTCAACCTTAAACCGTAAACCTTACACCCTTAATACCTCGACTCCAAACACTGGAAGTGAAGTAGAAACCACCAGGAAGTGAAGTAAAAACCTTCCAACCAGATGCTAAAACTCCCGGCCTCTCAATCCCCGTGCCGCCTTTTAATCCCTGAGCCCGCGTAACCCTAAATCTCGAAACGTAAGCCCTAAACCCTAGACCCTGAACCTCGAACTTAACGCGCAGGCTGGGGCACCCAAGACATATTCTTCGGGAGAGGACGGGTTCTGAAAACCCAGCGAAACCTCAAGAAGAAAGGATAGTCGTAACAGTAAGCAGGCGAGGCAGCCATGATTTTGATAGCCTCTTGTTGCTGCCATTCGTAAAGATTCCTGCTAGAAGATCAACCTTCTAAACCACGACAAGCAACCCCCAAGCCCTAGTGACTCCACCTCCTCAACCCCCAAGCACTAAGCTTTTAAACCTTACAGAGATCCAAAGCGAAACCCTGAAACTTAAGCAATAAGCCCTAAACCCGAACCCGAAATCAACCTTGCACCCTCAACCCTCAACCGTAACACCTCAACCCTAAGCCCTCAACCCGAAACCCTAAACCCCACACCCTGACCTCGCCTGAGGGCAAAGAATCTGAGGAGTTCCTCTCCGGCCAAGCCTCTGGGTCACAGGCCTTCAGCTGGGCGGAAACTTACAGGCCTGGCAGGGGTTTAGGGCTTGGAGTTAGGCCCTAACTGTTAGGGTTTGAGAGTGTGAGGTTGGGAGTTTTGGGGCTTTGTTTCCAATGCGTACGCGGATGACCGGCCAAAAGTGTGCATGGCAAACACTAAACCACTCTTACCTGTATACATAAACCTTAAGGGCAACAGGTACATCTTGGCAAAATTTCGTTTGTTTTTCACGCTGCACTTTGCAGTGTTCTTTCAACTTCAGTCGGCCCAGAGTGCTTCGCACAGAAGTTGCTGGAAGCTTCGCTTCTTTGACAGCGCCCGAGCGTTGTGCCTCCAGACATCATTGAAGCGCCAGTCAAAGCTCTTCGGTGAGCTTGTCTTGGTCGAGGTATTTTTTTTGTTGCTGCCACTTTCCAGCGTTTGATGGAAAGCCAGGTGCCGTCGAGCTTCTGTGTCCCTGACAAAGCAGAGCGACTTTGTCGCGCGTACGTTTGGGCGTTTTAAGGGTGCAGGGTACACAGCGCCCGAAAAACTTGGCCCTAAACAAAGCCGCAACAGCAAGCCGGACATGCAGAAGATGAGGACAGAGACCCACACCCACGACCCGAAGAAGCAACTGCTGTAATACGGATGATTTTCCGCGAAAGAGGCCGAAAATGCCGGAGAAAAGAGGATTTTGAGGCAGCCCCGCCCACTCCCAGGTCTTCTTCCCCCCCCCTTTCCCCAAAGAGTTGGCTCTCCTACCATGTTGGGTTTAGGGTTTAGGGTTTAGGGTTTAGGGTTTAGGGTTTAGGGTTCAGGGTTTAGGGTTTAGGGGTTAGAGTTTAGGGTTCGAGTCCTAAATCCCAGCGACCCTCCACCCCAAAACCCAAGTTTCTACAAACCGCAGAAAACCTAAACCCCTCAAACCCAGAAGCCCGAAACCCTACAACGTCCAGAAACCCCATAGCAGAGACCCTGAACCTGGCCTTCCGCCCCTCAAAGGTCCATCACGCCCCCTGAGGCCCCCCGAAGCTCTTCTAGACCCTGATCTCCCAACCTTTAGGGTTTAGGATGCAAGATGTAGGGTTTAGGGTAGCTTCTGCAAGCCCCCAATCTCGGCCTTGCAGGCCCTACATCGGCTCCTTGCCTGATCAAGGGAGTTCTCTGAGAGCGTGCGGTGCGTCAGGGCATTGCAGATTTGGGGCTTGATCCGAAACCCGGAGCCCGAAACCCTCAACCCTGGCTCAGACCCATCCTTGGGTGGAGCTTTTTGGGACTGCATCTCGACTACCTCGCCCCTGAGGCCCTGAGAGCCCTTAGACTCGGACCGGTTTAGGGTTTCGGGTTTAGGGTTTCGGGTTGGGGTTCAGGGTTTAGGGTTTCGGGATTTAGGATTTAGGGTTCAGGGTTTTCGGTTCATGCAAGGTGCCTCATGGACCTTTCAGAAGCTCCATGAGTTGTGGGTCCACTGCCATAGAACGTCAATGATTGAGCTCGCCTGGAAGCCCGCCTAGAAGCTGACCACACTTCCCCTAACATATGGGCTTTTCCCAAATAGGGGTACCCCTGTATGCCCAAAATGGAATAGAATCCCCTTGAAGGGACCCGCAAAAAAGGTACCCCTCTTTTCGGAAACCTCAGAAACTCTGGGTCTGACAGTCGCCCAGAACTGTGTTATCATACTGCCAGGAAGAGAGGTACATTCAACCGTGCTTCATCACTTCAGAGAGCTACGCAGCTGAAAATATCATGACGAACTCCCAAAAGAGACCAGGAAGGGCCCAATAACAACCGGAAAAGGAATACCTCACCGAACAAGAGCACGAAGAATGTGCAGAAACGTTGTTACCCGAACCTTTCGGATGTCGGCTGTCGGACCGGCCGGAGACCCTAAACCCTAAACCCTAAACCCTAAACCCTAAACCCTAAACCCTAAACCCTAAACCCTAAACCCTAAACCCTAAACCCTAAACCCTAAACCCTAAACCCTAAACCCTATACCCTAAACCCTAAACCCTAAGCCCTCAACCCTCAACCCTCAACCCTCAACCCTAAACCCTAAACCCTAAACCCCAAACCCCAACCCTAGACCCTACACCCTAAACAAAAACCCTAAACCCTAAACCCTAAACCCCAAGCCGGCCCCGAAGCCCATGCCCGACGGCGGCATCCTAGGTGCTGCGGACATCCCCCCGCAGGGGCGCGCAAGGGAGGGGGGGGGGGGGTTGCCGGCTTTCAAGGTCTAAGCCCTAAACCCGAAACCCTAAACCCTAAACCCTGAACCGGAAATCCTATACCCTAAACCCTAAGTCTGTATTTCGCTGGCTGGAGCTCATCTATTCCTTTGTTGGCTGGGTGATCAAAAGCCACCCGGAGCTCTCCCTGAACTAACTGGTTCTCAGGGCTTAGGGTTTAGGGTTTGGGGATACTTAGTTTAGGTTTTCGGGTTTAGGATTTAGGGCTTAGGGTTCAGGGTTTAGGGTTTAGGGATACCGAATTCCTATATACTCCTTCGGCGCTTACCAGCCTGCGGGCCGGTAAAGCCACATGGCCGAAGCCCCTTTGTGCCCAAGTCTGCCGGCGAAGTTTCAGTTTTGAACCCCAGACTTTGCACCCTGCAACCTGAACTGGGTTTTGGGTTTAGGGTTTAGGGTTTAGGGTTTAGGGCTTAGGGTTCTGAACCCTTGATGTGTGAGCCCTGAACCTTGAATTTTGTCTCCCCAACAGAGTCTTCAAGCCAGGGACGTGGTCACGGGCCCCCGGCAGACGCCCTACCAAGTACCGCATCCGGAGGAGTGCGACACTCGAGCAATTTTTGTTTTCTTTGTGGAGATGTTGGGGTGGAGCTTGGGATGTTATTAGGCGTCCCGATGACCTGCAGCTTTTGGCTTGAGGGCCGGCTGTTTAGGTTTACGGTTCAGTAGGGGTTTAGGGTTTAGGGTTAGGGGTTTAGGGGTTGATATAGGGATTTAGGGGTTTAGGGGTTTCGGGGTTTAGGGGTTGAGGGGTTTAGGGGTTTAGGGGTTTCGGGGTTTATGCAAGACGTCTGCGGACCATCCAAGTTTAGGGGTTTAGGGGTTTAGACATTTAGGGGTTTAGGGGTTTAGGGTTTAGGGGTTTAGCGGCTTAGGGGTTTAGGGGTTTAGGGGCTTAGGGGTTTAGGGGTTTAGGGGTTTAGGGGTTTAGGGGGTTTAGGGGTTTAGGGGTTTAGGGGTTTAGGGGTTTTGGGGTTTTGGGGTTTAGGGGTTTAGGGGTTTAGGGTCTAGGTTTTTACCTATCAGGGTTCGGGTTTGTCGACAGCTACAGCAACCAAGGATTGGGTCGACTTTGCCGTAGACGGCCTTGAGGAGAACCGCATGTGCCAATCTCAGATTCCGACCCTGGGATACTTGGAGGTTCATGGGTACTTAGAACCCCAGTTATAAGAAGCCCTAAAGCCCTGAAACCCTACGTCCCTAAGACCCCCAAACCGCAATCTGGGCTTGTGGTTTTGTACTTGGAGGTTCATGGGTTCTTGTTCTTATAACCCTATTAGAAGCGTACTTCTAGCCTACTTAGGGACTCCGGGGGCTAATGAGCACAGTTGTAACTCTTTGGGCTTAGGGGGGGGGGGGGTTCCCTATGCGGAGCTGCAATTGGTATTGTAGAAAGGAGTTGGTATTGGAAGTTGAAGGGTCAATGAACCCGGTAATCTTTGGCTCAAGCCATGACCAAAGCGGTCGAAGGTTTCGGAAAAAGTGTACCCTTGGTTTGGGGTCTTGTTGTTCGGTTGTTGGTTGTTCCAGGGGTAATAAGGGCTTCTGTTGGGGTTGACTGTCTTGTTCCCTGTCCTCCTTCGGTTGCCCCCCGAAGGTTATGAGCCCAAGTTAGGCTTCCTGCGGAATTGGTAAAGATTTTTCGTTTGTTTAACGCCATGGACATGATGCGGCGTCGCTCTGAGCCTGGACTGTCG